ACTTAAAGTTAATGGCCTGCCATGTGGTTTGGTAACATTGGGACTGTGCCTTTTTACTTGTCAACCTTGGGGCTTCTCAGCCTCAGCAGCCAGCATCTGTCTGAGTGAAGAAATGCCTCTAGCTCCAGTGGGCCGGGAGCAGGAGGCAGAGCTGGACCCCAAGGTTGAGGGGCCCAGCCCTTAGAGCCTGGCACTTGAACTTGGTCTTAAAGTCTCCAAAATGTAAGAGAATAAACTCCTGTTTGTTAAGACCGTCCCATTTGTGGTATATTTCTTGTCAGAGCAGCACTAGGTAATCAGAACAACCCTGTTATTGACTGCAACTATAGTTTATCTTTCCTCATTGCTGTTCAGTACTCCATACATGAATGCATAATCATTTATGTATCTATTCGGTTGATAGGCATTTATGGTTTTTTTCAGGGAGTCTATTCTGACTATTGAAGCTATGAATGTTATTGGTGAACGTTTCCATACACATATTTTTATTGATTGCATACGTAAAAGGAGAATTCCTAGATCGTGAAGTATGCATCTTGTCAGGTGAGTTTAAAGTATCAGACTCTTTTCCTAAATAACTGGGCCAGTTATTTTATGAGTTTCTTTGCTTCCATATCCTCAGCAACACTTGTTAGGTTTTTTTAAAATTTTAGTCATTTATATGATTGTGCAGTAGTATCTTACTGTGGTTTTAATTTAATTTTCTCTTGATTATCAATGAAACTGCACATCTTTTTTACACGTTTATTGGCCATTTGTATACCTTCTTTTGTGAACTGCTTATTGAAGTCTCTCACCCAATTATCTACTTAGTTGTTTGTCCTTTTCCTTATGAATTTGTAGGCACTTATTATGTTTGGATATGAGATCTCTGCTGGTCACATATATTGTAAACCGCTTCTTCCACTCTGTGGCTTACTTTTTCAATCACTTAATGGTGTCTTTTGAGGAACAGATTCTTAATTTTACTGTTCTCCAAAACTGAAACCAAACTCACTGCTGTGGAGTGGTTCCCAAGTCATAGCGACCCCTCCTTGGGTTTCTAAGTAGATATCTCTAGGGAAGTAGATTGCCTAGTCTTCCTTCTGGAGGAGTGGCTGGGGGGTTTGAACTGCCAGCCTTTTGGTTAGTAGTCAAATGCCTTCGGCACTATGCCACTGTGCTAAAAGCAGAGAAATACACTTACAATATTTAATTCTGCCACTTGGTGGTGCCATGTTGTTGTTGTTGTTATGTGCTGTGGAGTCAGATCTGACTCATAGCGACCCCTCCTTGGGTTACCGAGGCAGTATCACTGCAGAAGTAGATTGCCCCATCTTCCTTCGGAGGAGAGGCTGATGGGTTTGAACCACCAGCCTTCTGATTAGCGGTCAAGTGCATTAGGCACTATGCTACCAGAACTCCCTGGTGGTGCCATAGGAAACTAATAATAATAATTTAAAAACTATTGTTCTAAAAGTTCACTGGACAGTAGGATTTGGCTATTACCAAACTGAAAAATATAAACAATATTTTAAAAAGATTGTAATCATCTTACATATCACAATGGCTGCAGAGACCTTTCACCATAAAAACCCAGACTTGCCCATAGCCAAACAGGAAACCAATATAGTACAAATAATTTTTATTTTAAATCATGGAAAAAATTTCAAGCATTCTAAAGTGACAATATAGCAAACAGTCTTATGCCTATTATCTAGAATTAGTAAATGTTATCATCCTGGAGCTCTGGTAGCATAGTGGCTAAGACACTTGCCCGCTAACCAGACGGCTGGCAGTTCAAACCTACCAGCCACTCTTCGGAAGGAAGGTTGGGCAATCCTACTTCCGTAGTGATACTGCCTCGGAAACCCAAGGAGGGGTCACTATGAGTCGGGGCCGACTCGATGGCACACAACAACAACAACATCATCCTGTCACATCTGCTTCAAAAAAATTAAACAAATGTCATGCTCCTTTGTTCTCCCCAGTCTGTTCACTATTCAGAATTTAAGGTGTACCATTCCAGTTCTTTTTTCTGTATTATTAGTACATGCTCAAATGTCCATGAATAATACAAATGTTATTATGTATTTTAAAAAATCTATCTTAGCATATCATAGTATGCTACAGTTTGCTTTTTTCATTCAATATGTTGTTTTGCCATCTACTCATAATGATGTGTATATAAATCTAGATCCTTAGTTTTAAGTGCCATATTGTAATTTTTGGCAAAAATGTATAGCTACATTTATTTCTTAATTCCTCTATCAATGAACATTTCAATGTTGCAATGGATGCAATGCCTAGAACAACATCTAATATGTCCTCAGAAAACATTTAATGAATGAGTGGAGGTGACCTTTTAATTCAAGCAAAAGGGGCATAAATTATCTTATTATTTTTTCTTGAACTTCTCAGTTATTTGCCCTTAATCTCCACTCTATTCTGCAGGCGTGGCAGAGGTCATTTCTTTTCCTCAATCCACTGAAAAAGACTCCGATGTGTGGGTAGGGGAGCAAGAGTGGATACATGGAGTAGAGAAGGAAGGGACATTAGGAAATGTCAGTATCAAAACACAAAAAACAAATTCAAAGGTCTGCATGATCAGGGAGGGTGGGGGCAGCCAGGGTGACAAATTCCGGAAGGCGTGTGAGTTTATAGTTCAGGGCACGTCCTGTGCTATCATATCGGGATAATGTGGTAGTGGAATACAGAGTTATTACTCCCCATCTGGGTTCTGAAAGACGTAACCATCAAACGCCCAGAGGTTGCCATAGGAACCAGCCAGAATTCTTGATGCGCTTAGAATGTTTCTTCTTCCGGTCTTCAGCTCTTCGCAACCACCGCTCTTCTCCTACGTCCCCCGCCCATTCTGTGGGCGCTCTTCATTCTCCTTCCCCTTTCGATTCTCTCTTTCTCTGTTCGATATCGCCATCTTGGACCATGCATCAAGATGGCGACCCCTTGCCCCAGAGTCTGAGCCCAGGCGCATCAGTGAGGCTGCGCGCGCACGTTCCGGGGCAGAAGGGGGACGGATGATTAAAACAGGACGTCGCCCCGCCCCCAGAAGTAGCTCCGCCCCCGGTCCCACTCCGCCTTCCTCCCACCGGGCGAACCCGGAAGTGGAGGAGGAGGAGGTGCGGCGGCTGTGCCTGTGCTTGTGGTCGAGCGGGCGGGCGCTGGCTGAGCCGCACCTGGGAGGGTGTTTGGTGCTAGGGTTTGGGTTCAGGGCTTGTGCAGCCTGGGCAGCCTGGCCTGGACGGGGCGGGGGAGGCCATGGCCTCGTCAGAGTTGCAGGGGAAGTACCAGAAGCTGGCTCAAGAGTACTCGAAGGTACCCATTGTGGGCGGGAAATAGGGGGGGGGTCCCTGTCCCTGCGGCCTCGGGTTGCCTTGGCAGCGACTACTTGTGATGGAGGGGAAAGCGGAGGGAGCTAGCAAGGGTTTCCCACCTTTTCCCTCCACCTTCTCTATCCACCATTACCTGGCCTCCAACTGCAGTTCCCAGGGGATGGGGCCGGGCGGTGTCTTGAAGTCTGTTTGCATTTCTGCGGGATGGAGTCAGTTTAATTCTTCCTTCTCATTGAACAAGCAGGCTTGGGACTGGGATGTCAGGTTGATACCCTGGCTTCTGCTTCAGGTGCTGGCCGGGAGGGGCAGGAAAAGATGAACACCATCTCCTCCCCTGGCTGCTTCCTTCTTCTCTTTTCCCAGCCCAGTGATGGGGAAGATGAGCCTTTCTGCCATCCCACAGGAATGATAGGACTTATTTTTACCCCACTCCGAATCATTTCGGAGGGTAAATAGTGTCACATGTGTAAACTGCTACACTAGGGATGCGCTCTTCGTCAAGATAATGTTTGGAATGAATTTGAAAGCTTGAGAGCTAGGGTTGTGTCTTTTTCTTTTCCTTCAGTCGCCTAGAGTGTGGTAGAACACACAGCAGGTGCTCCATACGTGTTGAATTAAGCAAAATAGGGATGTGCCACCTTTGTCATGCTTATGGGCTCAGTGTTTTGAATAATGGAACCCTTTCCTTGGAAAAGGGCGGTACTCCTTCTGGGTAGGGTGTTTCTGCCTTAAGGATACTGTAACGAATTTATTCAGATTTTACGTGTAAGGCTCAGCAGCCTTTAAAGTCCAGAGTTTTCAGTTGTCTTGGCACTCATGGAGTCAGCTGGAAGACTGACTAGCCCCTTTTTTTTACGGTAGGTGAGGCACATTTTTTTTCCTCAATGATTTTATTCAACGAGTATTCAGCAAAGTAAAACAAAACAGTCCTTGGAGGTAAAACAAAACAAAACTTGTACCTAAACATACACACTTAAAGTCTTTTGACGATGACAGGGGAGGCTTCTGAGATTCTACACTTATTCCAACAGTGGAACTGTTGACAAAACTTTTTTTTGCAATTCTATTTAAAATTCTTAAAAGCTTCGTTTTATATATCATCAGGGATGGCAAGTTTTCATCATTTCAAGGATTTTTTTTTTTTGGCTTGAAAGGACCAGCCTTAGTTAGGAACAAATCCATATGATGAAGGAGAGTGGGAAGATGGTGGCAGTGCTAAAGTTTGGCTCTCCTGTTTTTGGTTGAAAATGTTTCATGACTATAGAGTAAAGGGCCTGATTTTCTTCAAATAGTAAACAAACTAAAAAGGCAATTCCAGCAGGGAAAAGAGGAGTTCAAAAAATGTTTTGAGCTGTGACTGCATTGCTGAAATCATTGTGTAGCTGCCCGTAGTAATAAAAACTGAGAGGTTTTAGTCTTTTGTATACGTGAACTCATTCATTCAGTTGACATTTGTTATGTGACCCTGGCAAGCAGTCTACTAGACTCTCTTGAGTGAAGGAGGGTTCCAGCATGAGGAGCTCACCGTTAATAGAATGTTCAGATATGGTACATAGCTATACAGTAAAAGAAGCATCTTACTGTTCATTGGTACCAAGAGGAGACAAGCAAGTAAGGATAGAAGTTACTCAGAGAGTAGGAAAGAGAGGGGGAATGGTAGCATTCTTTGCAAAGGAACAGCCTATATTTGCTGGTGTTAAAGGGCTTTAAGTTACATGGCTAGGAGTGTGAAGATGAGTTTGGAAAAGTAATGTGGACCTGATCAAATGGAATTGTGGATGTCACAAAAGAAGTGTGAACTTTATCTTTTGAGTAGTGGGGAGACATCAAAGGTTTTTCGGTATGGGAGTGATAGTACTTTTTAGGAAGAAAACTGGTATCTGGAGGATGGGTTGGAATGGGGGAAGATTGGTGAAGAGAAGACCAGACAGGAGGCTGTTGGGATAGTTTTGGGAAGAGTAATGTATTAGAGTTAGAGACTGCTGGAATAGAGATTAGGGGCTAGATTCAGGATTTGTGATTTAAAAGTACTTTGTTCTTTAGTCATACCTCTTTTTTGAGTGTGTGCTTTGTGCATGTGTCTATGAAAGTTATAAAGATACTAAATTTAGGCACTCATCCTGTGTCTCCTTCATTCTGTAAAACATTGTTATTAATTGGATGTGGTGAGTGAGGGCAGAGTCAAAGCTGACTGCAAAATTCTGAGGTGAGAGAACTCAGTTGTCATTGAGAGAATGAGGGACGTCAGGAAGGAGAGCTTCTTAGGAGCCGAAAACCAAAAACCCAACTTGCTGCCTTCAAGTTGGATCCAACTCATAGTGACTCCTCCTTGGGTTTGCGAGGCAGTATCACTATCGAAGTAGATTGCCCAGTCTCCCTTCTGAGGAGTTGCTGGTGGGTTTGAATCACCAGCCTTCTGGTTAGCAGTAAAATGCCTTAGGCACTACACCACCAGAGCTCCTTAGGAGCCAAAGGGGTGCAGTAAAGGTTAGGTGCAATTGTATTATTTTAGGGTTGGAAGTCAAAGTTGTCTTGTTCATATGGTTTGGAGGGTGAGGTGTGTTGGGATAAGTGCTGAAAATTTCTAGCTTTGATGGACTGGCTAAAGCCATGATTAGGCTAGAGCTTTTGGAATAATTCTCAGAGATGGTAATTGAACTGTGAGAGTTAATCAAAGGGATTACTTTGAGTAGAAACTGAGGACTGTTGGTGGGAAGGATGTAACAGGAGGAGATGTTAAGGAGACTGTAAAAGGGCCTGCCAGCCTGGGGTGTGTCTCTATTATTGCACAAGGCCATTTTAAAATTATTTTAATTGCAATATGCCGGGAATTTCAGAACACTAAGAGAGCAGTGAAAAACCAAAAGATTCCATGTGCTTTTTAATTCTAAGCAAATACTGGATAAAGAAGGGATGTTCTACCTCTTTATTACTTTTCCTGGGGCAGAAATTGTGGGCTGATGTCGAAATCCAATTACATCTGCCTTTTGCCTTATTTTGGATATAAAGTAACAAGATCTCCCCAAAATCTGTAGAGAGAAGCTTGCACATCAAGAGAGCTCGTCCCTAAACAAAGGACACTTACAGATTCTACTCAGCCTCCTTAATGTAGACCTCAGGTATTCCAGGAGAGGGCTCATTCCTTGTTTAAGAATGTTAGTCTTAATCTTCTTTCTCCCTGAGAAGAAAAAAAAGATTTCCTATAAAGGAGACTGAGAGTCTAGTTAGATAAAATGGGGAACCATGGGTCCATGGTAGATGAGAATTTTGGAGGCAGACAGAGTGCTAAAAGCATGAAGTGTTAGGGAAAGGTCAGTAAGAATGGAGACTAAGACCCCAGCGGTCTGGGCAGTTAGAAAGTCATTGGAAGCTTTTTTAAAATTTCAGATTCAATAGAGTTGGGGGGAGTGTGGAGATGTGCAAAGACTGATTTTCAGAGGTTTATGGAGTTAATGAGTGATAGATAAAAGCGAAAAATAGGACCCTCAATAAGATGGATTGACAAAGTGGCTAACAATGAGCTCAAACATAGCAACGATTGTGAGGGTGGTGCAGGACTGGGCAGCAGTGTTTTGTTCTGTTGTACAAAGATGGGACGCTGTGAGTTGGAACCAACTCGATGACACTTAGCAGCAGCAAGAGACGTAAGCTACTTTGAGATGTGAGGGAAACTAAGTAAGGTGTCCTCAGTTACAACCCTGTGGATTAAAAATCAATGACCGTTTCTTACTTGGTATTCTTCCCACAGCCAACTCTGCTTCTGATGTGCTAGTGTATCTTGTTAGGGAGAAGGGAGGCTGAAAGGACTCACTCAGTTCTGGCTCATTTGGTTTGAGCCTGCCTTTGCAGGAACTCCTGCACTCTTGTATGTGTGCAAATAAGTTTCAAGTTCTAAGTGCCTTCCCAGTGTTTGTGCTACTCTGGGTCAGTAGTTCTCAAAGTGTGGTCTCTGAAATCAGCATCATTTGGGAATGGGTTAGAAATGCAGATTCTCAGATCTTACCCAGACCTTTTGAATCTGAAACTCGGGGGTGAGGCCCAGCAAAGTGCCGTGTAACTAACCTCTCCACTCATTCAGTGCAGGCTAAAGTTTGAGCACTTTTGCTCAAGGTAACAGTATCAGCTTCTATACAGTTGTTTGTTCAAATAAAGATAATTTTTTTTTTTTTTATTAGGATTTGGGTGAAGATTTACAGAGTAAATTCACTTTTCATACAGCAGTTCACATATACTTTGTCTCATGTCATTGACCAAAATTTACAATGCAGCAGCTCCCCTCCCACTTCCTCCCCATAGTTACCTCCTCCCAGTGTCCATCCCTTCATACTCTTCGAGAGGCCCATTGTCTGCCAACCCTGTATATGATCTTGGATACACTCTCCATTTAGACATACATAATTGTTTAGCTTGTTCACCCATCTATCCGTCCCTATACCCATGTTTGCTTTCATTGACAACTCAGTATTGTATTTACAAAGGGGTTCATATTTGTTGTTTGTACTGCCCATGTAACTCTCTCTGTCTTTCTCATCCTCAATGCTGCCATATTGGTCACTCACATTTGGTACATTGCCCTTCTCTTCACCCAAATCAATATTTATCTCTATCTATCTAACAGCATTCCCTCCCCTTCCCTTAACCCCTGGTAACCAACAAAGAAAATGTCCTCCAATATATAAACCTTTCCTTAACTTTCACAATAACGGACTAATACAATATTTGTCCTTTTGTGACTGACTTATTTCGCTCAGCATAATGTCCTCCAAGTTCATCCACGTTATGCGGTGTTTTGCAGATTCTACATTATTCTTTAGCGTTGCATAGTATTCCATTGTGTGAATGTACCAAAGTTTGGTTATCCATTCCTCAGTTGTTGGACATCTAGGTTGTTTCCAAGTTTTGGCTATTGTAAATAGTGCTGCGGTGAACATCGGTGTGCTTATATCTGTTCTTGTTATGGCTCTCACTTCTTTAGGGTATATA